TGTCCTGCAGCTGTACTATTACAGAAAATCAGTACGGCCTGTAGAGGGTAGTACACAATATGTACCCAAGCAGAAAAACAAAAACAAAATGTGATGTTTTCTTACCAAGTTGAGTTGATTTCTTAGTGCATCTCTGATGCAGCATAAATTCTTGTATATTACACTTTAACTACACAATTACATAAAGATTGTTGACATTTTTTGACTGTAATATTTTAGTATCATTTATCATGATATTTATCATTTGTATAAATCATTTATCATTTGTATTTCCTTTTTTACATTTTTTAAAATTCTAGTAATTTTGTTGTGTTTTTTTTTTCTTCTTTTAATGTCGATATAGTTTTTATTAATTTTTTGTTATTTTTATTATTTTTAGTACATCAAGTTAAGCTAAACTGTAGCTGAAATATAGTAAGTTTAAGTTTTAGTTCAAATTGTTCAAATTTCAAGTAACAAAGTGGGTTTTTATGGTTTTAGTAACTGTTTGAAGAGTGAAATCTCACCCAGATCAATGGAGATATCAGGCTCTGTGTTTGCGACAGGTGCGTCCTGCTGCTGAAGATGCTGAGGGAGAAGATGAGGATGCTGAGGGAGGAAGATGGAGTTGAAAAGCGGGCTGGCGGACGGCGGCGGGCTGTCCAGGTGGTCAGACGGGGTGTCGTCACTGATTCCGCTGTCAGAGGGTGAGGGGACCCACAGAGGAGAGCAGGGCTGCGACACGCCATCTGACCCTTGCAACAGGGAGTCCAAGAAGTTATCAACAACACCTTCTTCACCATGACACAGAATCTGCAGGAACACAAAGGAGTCACACAAAACTGTAATGTATCTGACTCATAGATGATAAATGCACCCACCTGAGTCTCAGCAGAAACACACACACTCACACACATATATATATATATATATATATAATAGACAAAATAAATTTTTTTACATTTTTTATTAAAATTATATACAATTTGTAGTGTATATTTTGAAACAAATATATTTAGCCTTGAATTGTTCATTTTCAACAGTTTTCTGTTTTCAACATGCCTGTCCGCAATATTGCTTTGCACACTTGTTAGTATTTGCTAACAGCAGATTTAACAAATTAACCCAACCAACTATGACATTCATTCAATTTCCCTGATGTAACACCGCATTTCAAGGGAAATCAAACTGTGAAAGCACCCCTGATGCAATGCATACATTTTAAACAGATATACACTATAATTCAAAAGCTGAGTTCAAGGTGCAACAAACAACAGCAAGGTATTGTTTTTTGTTTTGCTTTTTTTTTATTGGTATTTTTATTCAGCAAGGATGAATTAAATTGACCAAAGGTGACAGTAAAGTCTTTTACAAAGAAATTCAAAGAAATTATGAACTTTCTATTCAGCAAAAAATGTATCACAGTTTATTATTATAAATAAGATATTATAGATAATAATCAGAAATGTTTCTTGAGCAGCAAATCAGCCTTAGAATGATAATATATATATATATATCTGGATGGTGCCTATGATGTCTTAAAATGCTGACCGTGTACACAGGTCGCTAGGTTTTTGACTTACACACACACACACACACACACACACACACGCACACACGCACACACACACGCACACACACACACACACACAACAGTGTCAGACACAAACACACAAAAGTTGACGGATAAATTTGGGTCAGACATGTATGCTGTCACTGTGTTTACATGAAGCCTTTCAGGGTGTCTCATTAATTAACCAAATTAAAATAACTAAAAATAAAATGTTCTCAGCATGCTCTCAGCAGGAAGGTTGTCTTGCGATTTATCATATAAACTCAGGTCACAGATATCAAATGCCAGTTCACTCACGCTTTGATCTGTGATTGACCATGCTGGGTTGCCATGGTCACCATTGCTGTCCATGTGAGGGTTCATATGGGGCTCGAGGAGCAGGTCTAGGAGTTCAGTCCCAGAGTAACCCTGAGATATAGAGGAAAGATGAGAAGTTAGAGGAAATAGGGGAAAAACAAATGTATGCCATGACATAAGGTGCTTTCATACAATACACCTGGTAAATTACTGTAAAAAATACTGGCATTCTGTCTTTTTACCATTAAGATACCATTCACACATCAGAACCAAACTACAGATAAATTGTGTCATATCAGTCAACAGAATGACCTTTAAATGCTGTGTCGTTTCTTCTTCTGTCAGGATGAGAAGCGCTTTTCATACTTGAAATAGTTAACCTTGGGTCATTCTAACGGAATCTTGGTTATATCTTCCTTTATGTGTCAAACTCATGCTTTACAATTAAACCTGCACTCTAAAAAGATGGTTTCTTTAAGCACTTTTATACTGAAATGGTTCTTTGTGTTAGAGTTTAAGGTTCTTTATTCCTGCCGTTTTGATTTTTTAATCTGTAACTGCCAGCTGTCAATCATCCAGAAACACAGACGGTCAGCACACTCTCAACAGGTAAGGAATTTCATTCTTAATGTCTAACTTTCAAAATGGAACAGGTTTGCTACCAATCATGTCTTTTCCTATTTTTAGGTTTTGCTCAGTTGAGGATATTTCTCTCCTCTTCTCTGCTATGTAAGTAACAGGGATATTGAATGTATGGTCCATATTGTTGTCTTAAATTATTGCTTGGGTTAGCTTTCATTACCTTTTACCATTGTGAAGGGCTCACAGTACTTTCATAAACGTAATTGGAAATGGAAGAGACAGACTTTAACTCATTTGTGTATTTCTACCCAGATTCTGCAACACCCCACAACCTCAGAGAGAAACTGCCACTCAAAATACTCACAGAATGATGGACTTAAAGGCATCATAGAGGATTGTGAATATATTTCACTGGAACTTGATTGCAACATCTTCATTGCCTCTATTTTTTACACATAGCGCTGGAACCCTATTGATTGTCGAAGGATCAGCATTTTCCACCTAAAAGTGATCGGGCAGACCAAACCGTAAGTCGTAGAGACTTGAAACTTTGAGAGATGGTAGTACTCACACCGTCTACAACGTCATTAAGGCTCACGCCAATTGGCCTGACGGGGGCGCTACAGCAATCAAAAGTCCAAAATCCCTCATAACTCCTAAACCGTTAGTCGCAGACTCAAGTGCCTTATATCGTGTGAATCCTTGGCTCATAATGGACAAAACGCATGCCTCGGATTTCATCGTCAAATTTTTGGGTATTTTGGATTTTTTTGAAAAACCTACTTTTGCGAATTAGTCCTAGGTTTTTCACCCGATTGGAAAATGCATGCCTCGGATTTTATTGTCAAATTTTCAGGTATTTTGGATTTTTTTGAAAAACCTACTTTTGCGAATTAGTCCTAGGTTTTTCACCCGATTGGAAAACGCATGCCTCGGATTTCATCGTCAAATTTTCGGGTATTTTGGATTTTTTTGAAAAACCTACTTTTGCGAATTAGTCCTAGGTTTTTCACCAGATTGGAACCAAATCAGTGCAGAAAGATTCTCTGGAGAGTGGATATCAATAATTAGCAAAAAAACAACAACTTGCAACTCACCGTCGTGACAGGATCCCAAAACGTTCATAAAGGTTGGAGCCGCTTTTACTAAAATGACTGTAACTCTTGAATGGAAAGAGATATTTTCGGCAAACTCGGAACACGGATGTAAGAGAGTTTGGCCACTTGGTGGAGCTATAACAGGGAAAAAACATAAAATTGGCTATAACTACACACCCGATAGTCCGATCGACTTGAAAATCGGTATGCCGTGTCTTTGTCCAATGTGCCACAAGTGTCTTTGAGGACATTCTCTTATCTCAAACTCCAATGAATTTTGAGCACCTATAAGGCAAGGTTAACAGAGGCAGATCGGAACCAAACTCGGTGGGCATGTTCGACTCATGGTCCTAAAGGTCTGTAAGAATTTTGAAAGAAATTGGCCACTAGGTGGAGCGAACAAGTTTTACGCCTCTGTAATCACGTGGTGTTTCACACATCCACACAATATGCATATCATTTGATAGTTCTCCTCATACTGAACAACTTTGCCTCAAAAACCACTGCTGTCAGTCAAACAGTTTGTTAAATATTCTCGATTATGTAAAAAACGTGACGCGTCAGTTTAATTTTGAAAGAGAGCAAGATAAGACTGAAGTGACGTAACATTTAATATTTGTTTTACGACAAAATTGACTTTTTCCCTCAAATTTCTCAGCTTTAAGCTGAAAATATGGGATTGTCGTGATTCATGTAATTCCTAACTGAATGTGACGAGAAATGAAACGTTCTGCATTTTCAACATATTAGGCATACAAATAGGAGCCTATTTTAAAATATTATTTGCAAATACTTAAAAATTATTACTTCTCAAAGAGAATTAGATATAGAATTTCCTTCACTGTTCTATTTGTTTATAATTTTCACCCCCCAGTGTTCAAGACATGGATAAGACCTTGCATTGTGGTGACCTCTCAGATTTTCTTCAGAACATGTCTTTGTTATTTTCATATGTCTGGGGTCCTGAATGAAAAACTTCCCTCCACAAATGAGGCAGGAAGCTGCTCCGACCGTTAAAGTTTAACCAGGTCTGTTCCATTGTACTGACATAAAGTATTCATTTGAAAGCCTGCAATGTTATTGGTAGTACTGTAGCACAGAGAACACCCATAGAATATGACATTGGTAACACAGCTGGCTGTTTGTGACACAGCTGACAGAAAGACTGGTTCTTTCCACAAGCCTGGTTACAGCATAAAGCAGCAGGATAGCATCAGATCTGTCAGGAAAGGACAAAATAATCAATGTATCCATGTGGCGGGCCATGCACCTGATATAATGAACACAATGACATAAAAACTCATGACCCAGATGCAGCTGTCATCTGACCTGTTGAAGATGAGGAGTGATGAAGACTTTTGAGCCTTCTCATCAGCTCTGCTGGCTTTAGAGACACAGAAGAGAAATACGAACGCAAAAGAATATCATGCTCTGAACAACATCTTGATGTACTAGATTTTAAAGCCGTGAGTGAAAAATCCTTCTGCCAGAGAAAGAAAACTCGACCCCAGGGCAGATAGAGCATTGTTTCAGCATTGCATGCATACACACCCACACTGGCTTGAAACGATAGGCTATGAATCACAGTTTTATTGGTTTTCTGTTTAAGTTTTTTTGGGCTGATAAGCTATCTGTGCAGAATTACATTAACTTGTTAGTTGTGCTAAGCCGATAGACATGATGATACTCGTAATGTTTCTAGCAACATTTTCTCACACTAAACTTCTAAAATGTACTCTTTTTATCTTGGTAGATAAGTCCTTTCTGCATTTTATTATTGCCTTTGGGAAGAAAAATCATAAATGAGATCTTTTCCATCTTTGATCTCAGTTGCTTTTTGCAGACAGCAATTAGATTAAATATAGAGATATTTATTGACAGATAAAATGGAGATGTTTGCTTACTGTAAATCTCCTGCCCTTAGATTTATCCTCTGAAAAACATGCCGCGGTAGTATATTTCTATCAGATATAACTATCAGATTTCAGAGGCAATGTATCAAATTGTGTTAAGATGATATCAAAGTCTGCAGTCAAAAGTCAAAATATAAACTCATCAAAAAACATCTTTCATGACATTCTACGAAGACCAAATTATTTGAGCTATGTATATTAATTTCATATAGAGATCTCTTTAATACAGACTTATCTTAGTATAAGTTACTAATAGTTTTAATTAATATTTTGAATTGTATTTATTTTTGTGTTTTCTGTTTTAGTAATTTTGTCATGTTTATTAGTTTTTTATATTCTGTCTAATATAGTTTTTTTTTTTTTTTCAGTTTTAGCTATTTTAGTTCATTAAAAAAAACAAAAAAAACATTTACATATTTTGAAAAAATAGTATTAGTTGCTTTGTCAACTAGCTGAAATAAATTAAGCATATATGTCATGATCCCAGCCTGTGTTACCCTGTCTTGTGTGTTGTACTCTTATTTTGAAATCCAGTGTTTTCCCCAATGTTTCTGTGTTCACTCCTGTTTGCCTTTGGTTCTAGCACTGCCTCATTTGTTTCCATGACAATTCATTAGCTCCACCCCCTTGTTACCTCCTTACCCTGTGTATATATACCCCCCTTGTTTTAGTGCATATTTGTCAGTCGTTGTGCTTTCTGTAGATGCTCTTGTGTAGCATCCTGTGTTTATTTTATTATTTTCTTTGTAACATTAAACCTCATCTCACCTTTATCCAGCCAAGCATTCTCTCTCTCTCTCTCTCACACACACACACACAGACAGACAGACAGACAGACAGAGTACGTGTGTGTGTACGTAGTTTATTGCATATCAAGTAACTGTTATGTTTTTCATTTTTGACAACTATAATAACCATGCTTTAATATCTCTCCAAGACAGCAATAATATCGAATGGAGATCAAATACTTTAGTCCCAGCTGTTTCTTTGATTTATATCCTAGGAAAACAGGTCCTTGAAATCTCACATGTGTCTTGTCTAGAGTTTCAGAAGAGATCTCAATGTAAGTTACTTTAAGAAACATCTGACACAAAGTTGATATTTAAATGAAACATAAGAAATCCTGAGCTATAAATGTTTCTTTGTCATTGCATGGGTGGCTGCGGTTTATTGACAGATTCCTAAAGGAAAGGTGTGATATTTAGTATGAAGACCAAAACTGTGATACCAAGTGCTAAGAATTTGAAGGTGGCAATAGGTATCTAATACCAAAACAGATCAATTTCTCCAATGGATACCACATACTCTTGGGAACGTCTAAACCTCAGCCTACTTTTCATTCCAGACGGTTTGTTTGTGTTTCATTGACTTGATTCTTCAGCCCCCGCAACCTACTTTGCACTGTGGTCATGCGCTTTTGCAGTGAAGATAAGCTTATCTCATCTGAGCAAAGTTTTATATGACTTGTGCTAATGGCCCAGAAGAGTTACACACAAAACCACAAATCACGGCAAGCTTGGCTAGTCAACCTCTAAAGAGCACGAGACAATTTCACAGCTGGTGGTTTCGAGGACACCTCAAGAATACTGGTGAAGTGAGACTCCTGAAAGCAAAGCCAGATGCATTTAATTGCACTTTGTCACCAAACAAATCTAAGAAACCTAAACATGCATGCAACCACAAAGCATATACACAACAAAAGAGCAATGCCTAAACTCCGATTTCATTTGGGAGGTTTTGCATAAACTGATTGCTGTACTAAATCAAGATTATAGATGGCAAAGTAATCCACTGACACAACAAACAGCTCTCATGGATGAGCGCATGTGAGTAATTAAGACATTTTACTCTAATTGCGTAGATCTGTTAAACTTTCTCTGCCTCATCTGTTGTTAATGGAAGAAGTCTGAGAGGAGCCTTGGGTTTTATTCTTGTTTACGTGTGTGCTGAGCTACTAGGCTAATTAGGAAAAGTTCATTATCACCGGGGTTTGGGTTATTGTCATTTCCACAAGCACTGCAAATACACTGCTTCATTAACACCTCAAAATAGCAGCTGACTCTTTTTTTCTCGATAAATGAGATCGAATTGAGTTTAAATGTAACTGTAATCTCACACATAGCTCCTCTATTTCATAAGAGATTTCAGAATTGCCAAGATCAAGCATCAGAGATTTCAATATAAGCATTTTATTTATTTATGTATGTATGTATTTTAATCAAATTGATCAAAGACACACATTTTCTTTTGGTTGTTTTGTGGATCTACTTCCGATCATCTGCCTCAATACCATGGGAAAAAAAAAAAAAAAAAAGTTTTTAAAGTTGTTTAGTGTGTAACGAAGAATCAATTTTAAAATAAAAGAGAAAAATTATTTTAAATGTTTTTAAATAATTATTTAATATTTAAGACATTTAATGGAGTGATATCATAATTTCTAACCGTATTTCATTTCATTTCATTATATATTTACACATATACTGGGGTGTTATTTCAATACTACAAATTTGTTAGAAGAAAAAAAAATCAATCTTCAGAAAAAATATGAACAATTTTTGCACTGAACTTTAAACCCAAAATGTTTTGAATATAAATATTTTTATTTATCTCATTTATCTCATTCTCATTAAGTCTTATTCAGAAGTCAAAGGTCTCAATATGAACTTTCAATATCGCTCAAAAGTTTGGAATAATTACATTTTTATAATGTTTTTGAAAAAACTCTCTTATGCTCATAATGTGAAACTAAAGACTGAAGTAATCGCCACTAAAAATTCAGCTTTGTCATCACAGGAATAATTGAAAAATATTTTAAAATAGAAAACAGTTTTTTTTTTCTATTTAAATTGTAATAATATTTCACAATAATACCCTTTTACTGTATTTTTGAGCCAATAAATGCAGTATTCATGAGCAGAAGAGACTTCTTTTAAAAACAATAAAAATTCTTTATTATTCCAAACTTTTGACTGGTATCTTTTATATGTGTTCGTCATACAATACTTTTTCTTAAACCGAAAACTATTAGTATATAATATAAAAAATATAAAATATTTTCACAATTTTAAACACAATATTTTGGAGGATGCACCCAGGTGGTGTTCTCATAATGTCTTTACTTGAGGTCTGTTCTTTGGGCCAGTTTGGCAATAAGCTTTTCAAATTAAATGACTAAAAAACACATCAAAATGTCAGTGTTACCTGGCTGATAGTGACCCGATTCTAATATGACACTAACAATGAAAATCTCAGTAAAAGCAAAGGAAATGCAATACTTCACCTTGTCTGAGAGAAGTGCCATGTTCCAGGCACTAGAATCACCAACAGAAATACAAGCAAACAGAAGAAAATTATAAAAATCCAGAGAGAAAACCAGTGTATGTCAGTTTGGTGCTGTTCTCTGCACATTTGTGTTCCTGAATGTGTTCTCTGTTCTAGGGCAAAGTTGAAACTGCTGATAAACTTCAGATAATGAGCGTATGATTCAGCTGGGTTGTTAATGCTCAGAGGGCTTTGACTGACAGGGTAAATCATACATGTGAGGATCTGCATTCTGTTTATCAGTGAGATGATACACATCAAAATGTCAGTGTTACCTGGCTGATAGTGACCCGATTCTAATATGACACTAACAATGAAAATCTCAGTAAAAGCAAAGGAAATGCAATACTTCACCTTGTCTGAGAGAAGTGCCATGTTCCAGGCACTAGAATCACCAACAGAAATACAAGCAAACAGAAGAAAATGGTTAAAATCCAGAGAGAAAACCAGTGTATGTCAGTTTGGTGCTGTTCTCTGCACATTTGTGTTCCTGAATGTGTTCTCTGTTCTAAGGCAAAGTTGAAACTGCTGATAAACTTCAGATAATGAGCGTATGATTCAGCTGGGTTGTTAATGCTCAGAGGGCTTTGACTGACAGGGTAAATCATACATGTGAGGATCTGCATTCTGTTTATCAGTGAGATGATGATGATGATGATGATCGCATCAAAATAAATTAACATGATTACAGGAGAGGATGACATCAATGTCCAAGTGAAATGTAAATTAAGTGGAGACATGTGAGAAGATTTTATTGCCTAGAGGTTTCAATTTCACAGCTCAAGAGACTTAAAGGAATAGTTCACCCAAAAATGAACATTTGCTGAAAATGTCCTCACCCTCAGGCCATCCAAGATGTAGATGAGCTTGTTTCTTCATGGGAACAGATTTGGAGAAATGTAGCATTCCATCACTTGCTCACCAATGGATCCTCTGCAGTGAATGGGTGCCGTCAGAATGAGAGTCCAAACAGCTGATAAAAACATCACAATAATCCACACCACTCCAGTCCATCAGTTAACATATTGAAATGTGAAAAACTGTGTTTGTAAGAAACAAATCCATCATTAATTTTTAAACTTTAAACTGTTGCTTCTGGCTAAAATATGAGTCTATAATATTGCTTTCTCTAGTGAAAAAGTTGTCTGAATCAGGAGAGAAATATGCAGATCAATCACGATTACAAGCAAAAACATTCAGAACAGTTCTAAACAAATATATTGGTGGATGTTGATGTGAGAGGACAAAAGGGGATGGACTTTTTCACTAAGGGGAAGATTATGGACTTTTATTTTGGCCAGAAGCAAAACTTGAAAACATCTTAATGATGTATTTATTTCTTACAAAGGGCAGCTTTTCACTTCAAAAGATTTTAATTAAAGCTCTGGAGTGGTGTGGATTATTGTGATGTTTTTGTCAGCTGTTTGGACTCTCATTCTGACGGCACCCATTCACTGGTGAGCAAGTGATGGAATGCTACATTTCTCCAAATATGTACTGATGAAGAAACAAACTCTTCTCTAAAACACTAGAGGAGACTTGAGATTATTGGACTCTTTCTCAGGAGAACATCAGGTTTGATTGCATTGCTTTCTGGGAGAATCTCACTTGTGATTTTTAAATCTCAATGAGGTAATGTGTTTGTGTAGACTTGCATTGCGTATTTACATACTGAAATCTTCCTGAAATAATGACATGCTGCATGTGCGTGAACCTGTGCATTCTTACAACCTCCATGACCGCTCTTAACCTGAGGTTTGGCAAAGAGATCAACCCAAACCTGAAACTCAACAAGTCTTTAACTATGCAACGACTGCATGCTTATCCTGTATTTGTCCCAGCTGTTATCATATAGGATAAGACTGCTAACATTGGGAACTACACATTGTTCTGCTCATCAGAATAAAAGAGGAAAGTGTTACATAACTCATGCACAACTCCAGACATGTTTCAGTGATTATGTTGGCTTGACAAAATGAGTATGCTATTATTGTGCAAACTTCTATATCAACAGCCTCAGAACCAATTGTAACCACATTTAGCAACTGCCTAGCAACCTATTAGCAACACGGGGGCAGTCGTGGCCTAATGGTTGGAGAGTCAGACTTGTAACACAAAGGTTGTGGGTGTGAGTGTCGGTACCCACTTGAGTCTTGTGCCCACTGCTCCAGGTGTGTGTGTGTGTGTTCACTACTCAATGCTGTGTGTGTGCACTTGGATAGGATAAATGCAGAGCATAAATTCTGTGTATGGGACACTACTTGGCCTCACGTCACATAAAACACTTTAGCAGCTAAACAGTTAAATATTCATATTCATGTACACTATAAAATATGTTTCAAAGTTAAAACAAAAATTATTGGAGTACATTTTACAATAAAATACTACTTCTTTCTACTTCAAACCATATTTAATACAAAGTGTTACTTGATGTTTCTTTGTTAAATAATTGTGAAATTTACAAATTTTTGAGTGAAAATTGTTTCTACACCACATTTTTAAGTGTTATTGAACAGAATGCACACTTCTTTGTACAGAATCTGTGACATGATGTTAATTACCATAGAAAATAATCTCAACTCAGTTTGCAAAAACAAAGAAAAAGCATTTACAGAAATGAATTTGCAATGGAAGTCTTTGGGGAAACTGTTGACCCATGACGTGCCAATATAGTTCTTCTAAAGCTGCACTGAAGGTCAGAATACATTTCTTTGTGCCTCCCAGACATGCCTGCAAATAAGCCTGACATGACCTGAGAATCTGGACGCTCACATTCAAGAGCAAAGGTCATATTGACTCTGTCAAACAGACAGTGAGGCATTTTAAGGGTATTAGGATCTTTGATATTATTGACTCGCGTGTGTGTGTGTGTGTGTGTGTGTGTGTGTGTGTGGATGCTAAAGGTGGAATGTCTGCAAGTTAAGCAGTTAAAGTCTCACACCAAGCACAATTCTTCCAAGAAAATGGTTCAGATAGAATCTACCACAAAAAAAGGTCAAGAAAACCAATTAACTCGCTGTTCCAAATCCTGGATCCACAAAAGGGGAATTCAAAAGAAGAAAAAAAGTATTCAGATTTTATCTGTAAAATCTTTCAAATTTATTTGTGTGAGTATATGTGTGTGGGTGTTGCCTTTATTGTGAGGACAAAATGTCTCTGAAAGGTCAAGAAAACCAATTAACTCGCTGTTCCAAATCCTGGATCCACAAAAGGGGAATTCAAAAGAAGAAAAAAAGTATTCAGATTTTATCGGTAAAATCTTTCAAATTTATTTGTGTGAGTATATGTGTGTGGGTCAGGTGTTGCCTTTATTGTGAGGACAAAATGTCTCTGTAAGGAAAGTAAACTCTGAAACCAGCCAATAGTCCCCATGAGGAAAAAACTAAATTTACTACATAATGGTATAATGAAACTCTAAAAATTCAAACATGGGTGTCCATCAGACCGAAATAATGGATTTGTTTCTTACAAACGCACAGCTTTTCTCTTCACCATAACTGATGGACTGGAGTGGTGTGGATTTCTTGTTGATTATTGTGATGCTTTTATCAGCTGTTTGGACGAATGTCTGCAAGTTAAGCAGTTAAAGTCTCACACCAAGCACAATTCTTCCAAGAAAATGGTTCAGATAGAATCTACCACAAAAAAAGGTCAAGAAAACCAATTAACTCGCTGTTCCAAATCCTGGATCCACAAAAGGGGAATTCAAAAGAAGAAAAAAAGTATTCAGATTTTATCTGTAAAATCTTTCAAATTTATTTGTGTGAGTATATGTGTGTGGGTGTTGCCTTTATTGTGAGGACAAAATGTCTCTGTAAGGAAAGTAAACTCTGAAACCAGCCAATAGTCCCCATGAGGAAAAAACTAAATTTACTACATAATGGTATAATGAAACTCTAAAAATTCAAACATGGGTGTCCATCAGACCGAAATAATGGATTTGTTTCTTACAAACGCACAGCTTTTCTCTTCACCAGACTTTAACTGATGGACTGGAGTGGTGTGGATTTCTTGTTGATTATTGTGATGCTTTTATCAGCTGTTTGGACTCTCATTCTGACGGCACCCATTCACTGCAGTGGCTCCATTGGTGACATAATGCTAAAATTCTCCAAATATGTTCTGACCTGTTTCAGCACATTTTAATGCAACTATTCCTTTAAGGGTATTTTAGGTCAAATCCATCATTCACAGTCGATTCTGTCATCATCTATCTACCCTCATGTCACTCCAAACTCGTGTAACCTTTACCTGTAGAACACAAAATAGGTTATTATGAAAATGTCAGAGCTGCTCTAATCCATACAATAGAAATGCATGATGATCACTGTCAAGTTGTACTCTTTTTTTTTTCTTTTTTTTTTTGCCTTTGGAAATGTTTAGAACCACCACTGATTTCCCCTCAAAGATGGTACATGATGGTCAGTATGAAAACAACAGAAGTCAAGAAAAACAAATGAGTATTTGTGTGTGTTTTTTTGTGTGTTTTTTTTAAGATCAGAAACTAATTTAAAGAGCATTTACAGTCTACCGAAATAATGTTCTTGCTGTGGTATCGTATAAATCCAACAAAGAAAGAAACTAAATGTTTCAAAATTGAAACAGTAACATTCATATGTTTCCAGGAATTTGTTATAATACACAGAGTCCTTGTCTCCTACCACAGCTGTCATGAATTTCTGAAAACTGTTTGGCCAAATGCGGTGAAGAAACACATTGAACATTACTACCAGATGCTCTTAATACATTTTATTGTCATGCAGTTTTATCAAGATGAGAGGAGGCTTTGAGCAAAAAACAATAATTGAATACTTAAATTGGACGTTACATTTTTCATGCTCTTCATGTCAAGACAGAATATGATTGTGTAACTTCATGTCATGAGCAGACTTTGGATTTACCAGTCAGTGTTACTGTAGTTTACTAAAACCAAAACATTTTTATGTGCAATGAGTAAACAAAAAATTCCCTGAAATAAAACAGGCGACCCCTCACCCCCTCACGACGGACATCACCATGAGCCGCCCGACGTGGTGTCCGATGACGAAAAGGAGCACAACAAGAAGAAGAACAAGTTTAAGAAGAAGGAGAAACGCAGTAAGATAAACTCACTCACACGCTGTGTATTTACA